GAGACCCATACAAGGATGACCAACTCTTAGAGCTCGTCGGCGACCTTTGCAACTTCATATTGGACCAGATTGTACACGTCAAAGGCGCCTATCATGACCGAGAGTCTGACTTAGGTATAAATCCTCAGTATCAACACCTTCATGAGACTGAAAGGCTAGCTCTAGGACGTTGATAACAATGTGTATGGAATTTGTATATTTAATGATGGGTTGTATATATTCTTTTGAATTGGACTTGTAATTGTAGTTTATATAATACTCTTGTGCTTATAGTCGGGGTCGCGGGGCGTTCGGCAACGCGAACGTTGGTCGCGGGACGTTCAGCAACGCGAACGCGGTTTGGATCACAGGCGTTCGACAACGTGAGCGCGGTTCGGAATGTTGGTCGCGGGCGTTGCAACGCGATTTTGAATTGTAAATTTGAATTTTTTACGAAAAAACGTACTATAGGGGCGGTTCTAGATTGAACCGCCCTACAAACAGTATTTGTAGGAGCGGTGGTACTACATCCGCCCTATAATTTGTAGGGCGGTTGGTACTCTGACCGCCCCTACAAATCGATTTGTAAGGCGGTTCGAAGGCGCCCCTACAAATGCATGATTTGTAGAGACGGCTCGGTAGGGGTGGCTGGCCAAACCCCCCTACAAAGGGTTACCAACCGCCCCTACAAATGCTTTTTTGTAGTAGTGTAAGGAAAGGCTTCACCACAGCCAGGCGAGTGAAGCGCAGGCGATTTACGTCGTCTTGCTTAGGTGAGAGTCTTCTTTTCGTATTTTTAATTGTAGAGACAGAGTTGGAGATAAACGAACTAACTAACATGATGATACACAACCTAGGATTTATCTAGTGTGCTCTCCATAACCAACCAAAAGTTTCAAGCACTCTAGAGCAAATCCTATCACTAGCCTATGCTAATCTAGGAAATTGTAAATGCCACAAAAATAGCTCAGGTCCCGGGCTCAACGACTACCTAAAAGAGCGGATTTTCTAGGATTTAACGACCTTGTGCTTTTGGTGGTAGGCGATGTTCTCGTCGACAAATGAGGCATCTCAGATCGTCAATCTCGAGGATTTGCCAACCCAATCTTGAAGATGCTCATAGGGGTAGATTTGCATGCGTGCATTGATAGGGATGAGAGCAAGGCTAATAATATAGCCGGCTGTTGGATCTAAGGTATCTTTGCAGCCTTCTCTCAGCCCACTCATATAGTTGTTAGCTTTTTATTATTAATACATAGTCCACTTGTCTCTCTCACAGAGTTTCTTGGTTCTTATGCCAAAGCTGGTTGTAACCTTAGAGCCCGCTTCTCTTCTCTCCTCTCCTCTCTCCTCTACCTCAGCATTTAGCCGACTTACATCTTGTTATCTAAATAAGCCTGAGACCGACTTAACTCACGAATTGTTGGGTGTCGACTCCCACGAGACCACGACGAAGGCTGCCACGGATCGACGGGATGGAAGCGAACCCGACCACAGGCATCTCTCCGTGGCGCTGGGGTCCCCGACCCCGAAAGCACACCTGCGGCCGCCACCTAACGTTGCCGAGCGGGCGAAGCATTACGGCGGGCATGGAAGGCGTAGCCGCTGCGCGGCGACGCGGAACACGGCCGGGGTGAAGAGCGTGGAGGCGGCAGTGGAGGAGGAGGAGAGGAAGGCGTGGATGGTGGTGTGTAGTCGAGGACGGATGGCGGTGGGTGGCTCGACCTGCCTGCACCCTGCCGCCTGTGAATGTAAACACGAAGCTGCCAGGTTGGCTCGTGTCAATCACTCGAGTTAAAAAAAATGATAGTACCTCCTGGAGTCAACGGACTTGCTCTACACCAAGTACCTCATCCTGTTCAGCTCCGGCTTCCCGGTCGTCAGCACGGCGCTATTCGCGTGGCGATGGTCGCATGTCCGTGTGGGTCACCGTGTCGGCGCCTCTGCGGTCAGGCACTACCGGCCGGGTTCCCCACGGGAAGCTCGTCCAATATCGTCCATGGCAAGAACGTGGACCTGCTCATCACCTTTGTCATCGTGGGGCATGGTTACCCGGGGATGAAGGCGAGTTCTTCATCCACCTCTTCTCCGACTGGACTAAGGTACGCGCGTGGTGTCACTACGTACCAATCAGAGAGCTTGACATATAAATTTTTCTCATTCAGCGTTGACGTGATTGGCTGATTCAATCTCCTCAGTGGCCATCCGCCATCCTCGTATATATAAACGTATAGTACAGCTCTGTACCGTGGCTATAAATTTTTTCACAGTCAATGCATTCGTGGCCCTGTGACCGGATCTGGTGGAGCCCAGGGAGGAGGTCACGAATTCGTGTGAGGCTGAAGGCGGAGCGGCGCGTGCGGGCGTGCTGGCGGCACTACGGCGCACGCGCGGGGCTGAATCGGTGTTGTAGCAGCCCGTGCTGCAGTGCGCAGGCAGGCGCCCCACCTCGTCTGCCCTGTTCGTCGGCAAGACCCTGGATCAGCGCCACGGGGCTTGGGCTCAGCCAAATTTGGGCTCCATGTGGTAGTACTTGTGTTTGAGTGTGGTTGGTTGTGTCGGTCTTGTGCCTCGGTAGTCGGTGGTCGGGGTGCTGCGTAGGCGAGGCTGGTGGGCTGGGGATGCCTCATTCCATCCCAGGGCTTCCTGCGGTGGTCGGCGCTGGTCAGGATGTCAGCGGTCCTCGTCGACTAGTGTTGCATTATGTTGGTAGTGCTTGTTTGTTGCAGCAGCGACAGCTTGTCCACGGCGGCTCTCTTTAGTCGTGGCCACGACGATTGGTCTCGCTTAGCGGTGGCCAATTTCGGTAGGGTTGCGGTAGCTCCTTTGGTTGGTGAGGCATAGCGGGTACGTTGGTGGCAACTCTGCAGGACTACTACCAACTATGGTGTTTCAACGGAAGGTCTTGGTTGTGGAATCCATGGACAGTGGTGTGTCAAGCTTTCTCTTGTGAGTGTCCTTCTGTGGTTGGTATCTATTCGGTTGGATGTGGTCAATTTCGACCCGGTAGTTGTTGTGTGGCCACACATGTTGGTGTTCGCTCGCTACCACTGCTGCGACAACCAACAGATGTATGCTCGTTCAAGATGGTTGCGCGTCTTGGGAATGCTCGTGGCATCTCTAGAAGCTTGAGGGACGACGACGTGCAACGAAGTCGGCGACACCCTTTGCATGGTGTAGGAACAAGATGTGACCTCCACGGTGGTTGGTGCTATGTAGGATGGAGGCGGCCCTTGAGTTAACCAGATTTAAGTTTGACTAGATGTATATAAAAAAATCAACATCTATATATCTTAAATATAGAGTTTTACTATGAAAATGCATTATGTGATTTGTCTAACGGTAATTATTTATATAACAACGCTAAGTATATTTGGTTAAACTTCCACTGATGGTTTCTACAGCTAATTAACCGGCTGATACTGTTTTTTTGTTGTGTATCATGGCCGATAACCGGGCTGTTCAAGCGAAACCGTTCTCTCTCGGACAGTTCGATCTTCTCAAGGCGACCAAGAAGCAGAGACGTACGTCTCTCGGAGTGCATCGTCAAGCTGTACCACACGGCAAGGTCCTTCGTCCTGCTCACCGGCGACGAGGACTTGCGCATCAACAAGTGCACGACTCTCTCCGGCCGGTCTCCGCAGACAAAGAGGTAGAGGAGATGATATGCAGTACCCTCGCGAAGAACAGAGACGGTTTGGTCGGCGGCCAGGAGTCCCTGAAGGGTGAAGAGGAGGACCGACCAGAAAGGCGACGAGGACCTCTCGAGGTACAGCAAGGCTCAGACACACATCGAGAGAATCATGGTGTATTGTATTGGTGTGGCACGTCGCGACCAGCACGCCGGAGGAAGACGACGGCGGCGGCGCCGGCCTGCACCCGCGCATTGGACGATCGAACAAACGCTTGGAGGGCGAGCGCAGCGCAGCAGTAGAGAGGACTCAACGGCGCGCGGTCTCCGTCTGGTAGACGGCCGGAGCGGCGAAGGAAACTAAGAATAGTCCGGGTAGTTGCCGGAACAGCGACGGAAACAAGTTAGGATTTGGAGGACGGCCGCCGCTGGATTCAGGACATGTGCAACGTCCTCGCCTCGACGAAGCAAAAGCGGTTGGACAGAAAAAGAGCAGCCAACGGCGGCGAGGAGGAGGCCAACACGGAAAGCAGGGGGACGGGGCGAGCACAAGATAGCCAAAAGAGGTCAGCATAGTCTCGAAAGGCCAGATGCTCGCCAGAGATCTTCCGGTGAGCGTGCCGACGCATGCATGGCGGCGGCGACGGCCTGTACGTATGGGAGGCGCTGAGCCGTGGTGCGAGCTGATCGTGTCGATAGCGCCGCACCAGAAGGCAGAAGGAGCTCGGCACGGGCGGCGAGTTCATCACGCACCTCGATCTGGGCGGTCCTCTACCACGCGGGCATCAACGACAAGTTCTCGATCTCGTCCGCCGCCACCGCCGATGCTCCGCCTGGCAGAGACGACAACTACGGTCGGAGCAGCCCGTGCTAGGTCCGCGTGCCAGAGTGTGTGTTGGTGTACGTGCACGTACTGCGTGTTTTTGTACTCGTCGTAGAGGTGTTTAGCGAGCCAGGGTCGTCAGACTCACTCGTGTGTGTCCCCAGCTCGCTGTTCCCCGGGCCGCTTCTGTGCTGTGCACGAGACGTTGCAGCTTTGGGCTCAAAGTTATGTGGGCTGGAATATACTGGACCATGCTGTGAATTCCCGTCGACATGGGGTGGTTGGGCCTGCGTTTTTGTGTGCAGTAAGCGAGTTGGGCTTCAGCCTGCTGGTCCCCGAAATTCCATCGGCACTTTCTATTCGACGTGCAATTATTTTTGGTTCTTAATCTGACAGATAAATTTCTTTCAATCAAAGATGATGCATCAATCAAGCAGACTCATTTCGTGCGTATAAATTTCTGCCCGCTCTCTGCAACGCGCGCGGTGGCGCGAGCTGCCGTCTCTGGGGCCGACACCGGTGCCGCGCACGCTACCGCACGGCCAGCCGCTGCCACGGCCGGAGCCCATGCACCGTGTGCTGCCACTGCCGATGCATGGCCGGCGGCCACAGCTCCAGCCCGAGGAGCCTCAAGTGTTCGACGACGACAAGCAGGTAGGGCCGCCCTCCGGCGACCAACGACAGGCCACGGCGTCATCCAGATCCGGTGGGACGTTAGCTGTCAAGAGTGGGCTCGTACATACGTCGCGCGACAATTTCGCCGTCCTCGTGCACGTCCAGGCTCGCGGGATGACGGATGGCGAAGCGGCGTCCGGCGACGCGCCTCTCGACCTCGTGACAGTGCTGGACGTCAGCGGCAGCATGACCGGGGCAAAGCTCGCGCTCCTGAAGCAGGCCGTGGGGTTCGTCATCGACAACCTCAGGCCCCAGGACCGCCTCAGCGTTGTGTCCATCTCCTCCGGGGGGCGCCGTGTCACCAGGCTCTTGCGGATGTCGGGCACCGGGAAGGCTACGACCAAGAGGGGCTCCAACATCGCTGAAGGGCTCCGCACGGCGGCCAAGGTGCTCGTCGACCGCCGGCGCAGGAACACCATGTCCAGCGTCATACTCCTCTCCGACGGCCGGCCAGGACACCAACACCGTACGACGCCGCGGTGGTTGCGGGGCACCGCACCCAACTACGAGGCCGTCCTTCATGTCCACTGGCAGGCACCAGAGATTGGTCGGCGCCGACTCACACGTGTGGATTCGGCAACGACCACGACGCGGCCTCCATGCATGCACGTCATTGCTGAGGCCACCGCCGGTAGGCGATCATCCAGGACGCGTTCGCGCAGTGCATCGGCGGCCTGCTCACCGTCGTGGTGCAGGACGCGCGCGTCGCCATCGCTTGCGGGCATCCCGGAATTCGCGTCTGCTCGATCAAGTCCGGGCGTTACTGACAGCCCCGCCGACGAGCACGGCCGCTCCGCTTCTGTCCGCGTCGGCGAGCTATACGCGGATGAGGAGCGGCGTTTCCTGCTGTTCTTGTCTGTCCCAGCCGTGAAAGTAACGGACGGCGAGACTGCTCTGACCAAGGTGAGCTGCAGTTACCGAGACACGGATGGAGGCGCGCACGTCGACGTGACGGCGGAGGACACGGTGGTGGCGAGACCGGAACCGGAGCATGTGGTGGACGCGGAACGCTCAACGGAGGTGGAGCGGGAGCGCGTCCGTGTGGAGGCGACCGAGGACAACGCTGCGGCGAGGGCGGCGGCGGAGCGGGGCGCGCACCAGGAGGCGGTGGAGATACTCGAGAGCAGGCAATGAGCGGTGGCGCAGTCGGCGGCGGCGCTTGGCGGCGACCCCACGATCCTGGCGCTGGGGGCGGAGCTGCACGAGATGCCCCGCTTCGTTTCGAACGGGAATACTTACGCGCGGTCGGGGCGCGCCTTCATGTTGATGCTCTCTGGCATCTGCATGCACACGCAGCAACGCGCCAACATGAAGAGGACCTCAAGTTGTCAGTCTCGTTTGGTAGCTCTCCGGCTCCTCTCAAAATAGCTCTAGCTCTGACTCTTGTCTTTGGAAGCAGATTCTTTAGCAGAGTTGAAGCTGTTTTGGAAAACCATTTGGCTAAACAGCTCCTCATGTCTGTTATGAATGGTTAAGATAGGGACAATGTCCGAAATACGTATTTATATTTGAAGATGCAAACAATAATTTCTACATTCTATATATCAGTAAAATGTATATAATATCCCTTTTTATTTATATTCTTCTTTTTTTATTTTTTCCTTATTTGTATCTATTTTTTTATTTTGTTGTCCTTTTGTTTATCTTCACCACACGGCACCTTATCCTCAATTCTTTCTCTTTTTTTGTCTCTTATTGTCTCCACTGTATATAGGATTCACTTTTTCTCCCTGCAGGTCCCTAGGCAGCATGCGCTTTCGGCTTCCTTCTCTTCGTTCTTCTTGACTGTTCGTTTTAATTTGAATTGACTTATAAGTCATAGCTTGAAAATCTTGTTATTTGGTTTGGTGTGAGAGAAAAACCTTTGTTCAATTTGTGGATTATAAGCCGACATCTGAGCAAATAAGCCCGAAACAGGCAATTTGCTTATCCACAGGCAGCATGGTTGCTATCCGCTTCATGACTTGCAGAGCTCCATCGCGGACGGAAGACCGGCAATGCTGCGCGACCAGCGCCTCGGCGGCGTCATGGCCATGGCGCTTCCGTCAACCCGGGCGGCCCTCGGTGACCCGCTTGCCGGCCATGGCGCTCCGGCAACCCTGCATCCACGCTGACGGCGGCCCTCGGCGACCGCTAGCGCAGCACCGGTGGGGCAATCCGCCCGATGGCACATGCGAGCCCATGGCTGCCCGTGGGAGCCGGTCGGCTACGTTTTTGCAGCTCTATCCTTCTCTCCTCTCTCTCTCCTCTCGGTGGGTTTCCTCGCGGCTCCGGAGCGAGCGGATCCGTTTGTTGGCGCGCTTTGGTGGGAAGGTCTGTTGCTCCTAGAGCTGGTCCAGAGCCATACCAAACGGCCCCTAATTCTTCGCCGTCTCGATCTCGAATCCCGATGAACGATGCCATGGTCCACTTGAGGCGTCGTCATTCGCGACGCCGGTTTGTGCGAGCCATCTACTTTGTGATCGGTCGCGGATGGTGCGGAGAGGACTCCTCGGTTGAGCAGCGACCTCCGTGACAAATTTTTGTTTTTGTTTGGTTGCTAGGTGCAAATTTTTGTGAGGAATGGATGAATGTAAATTGATATTTGGGGTGAGGCTGGGATTACGGGTTTTCAAGGAAGGTCTCCATGTCTGGCGGTCTATTTTGTGATTGCGGTGGTAGAGTTTCGTGACACATTAGTAAATTTTGTGAGATGGCAGATTAATTAATAGTGACGGGGATGAAGTCCTTTTTGTAGTTATACATGATTTTATTTCGACCAGTTTTCTTTTTGTAGTTGCGCTTCGTTAGCGTACTTGTAAGCTTAGAGTTACGTTCATATATAGTTTTGGCTTTACGCCCTATCTGATTTAATGCGTTTTCTTTTGGGCTCGGATTCTCTTACAAATTAGGACATTTATATCTACTTGTAATAAGTTAATAATATTGTGGCCAATAAAAGCTTTGTTGTACTTTTAAAGACGAAAATTATGTGCAACTAAACGCATTGTCAGTCGAATATTCAGTTCCCCGAATTTGAGAATGGACTTTTTTTTAGCAGATCTAAGAATGGACTTGGCGTGACACGGTTGATACCTGGGCTTCTTCCCGCCGGCCCATCTTCAGCCCGACGTCTGCTATTTTGTTAGGCCCACGTCGTGGAAGATTGGTTTTGCGGTGCGGCAAAGACCTGGCCACCCCAGCACTACTCTCAAGAGTCAAGAACAGCAGCCTTTTTTGTTTATCAAAAACAAAAAGGAACAGCAGTCTTTTTCATCTGAAACCTAAACTAACCCGGCCGTCACCTCGTGGTTAATGCAGCGGGTTGACAGGTGCCAATGTGCCGTTCTCATGCATATCGCTGAATGTACGACGCCGTACACGTGATCGCGACCGCAGACTTCCCTGACGACGGAGGTCGACTCGGCCTGCATGGCGGCTCCGATCCGCCGAGGTCAGCACGTACAGCACCTATGGTTGGTACCCAGCCGCTCGTGCCAGTCGCATTCGAGCATGTCCACCGAGAGAAATGCATGGCGAGCTAGCTAGACCATCTGAAGCAGTAGTCGTAGTCGTCTCTTCCTCAATTATGATGTTCTTTTTATTACCTCTATCTATTACATGTATTTTTTTTCATATATAATGTTCACATAGTGTATATGTATAATGTTCTATGTTATGTTTCTGGATATTCATATAGTATAAGTTGGATGTTCCACGATTATATTCGAGTATTCATACCGTATTCGCGAGATGTTCCGAGGTATATTTTGTTTTCTTAAGTAGTACCATGTGATATTCATAGTGTAGTGGTTGGGAATGATTTTATAAAATCATGGGTCTTGTGTTCAACTCTTTTTGCGCAACATTTTTGTTTCTGTTTTTTTTCTCTTCTAGCGTAAGCAGGACCACACGATGTTGGATCATTTGTCTTGTTCGCGTAGTGGGTTCGGCAGGGGCTGAGACGGTGTCCGTGTCACGGCTCACCGCTCACCATGCATGGCTCAAAATGATGAAATTGCTCTATTTAGCTCCAATTTCTCTAATTAAAAAACCGTTTCGGAGAAAGACTTCTCATGGATACTCAAAATGATAAAATGTCTATAATACCCTATAGTTTTTTTTTGCTTTTCCTTCGTATATTCACTTCTCTCTCTACCTTATCCCAATGGCATGAACGGACGCTCACGACGTCGTCACCCCAGCCTTAGCCCCTCCCCACCAGCCTTGACTACCCCGGACCCACTCGTGTCGCCGTCTCCATGCCTTGCGCCATCATCGCCCGGCCTGCACTTTGCCTCGAGCCAGCGATGTGCGTGCAAAGTGGCGGATCTAGAAACGGACCAAGGGGGGGGGCTAAACAACATAGGCCAAAAAATTTGCTCGCTGGACACAGTACACTAATAAGCATAGAATTAGATAATTGATTCAAAGTGCTCAAAGTCAAAGATACATAGAATTATGATAATAAGCATAGAAAAGTACCAAATACAAGGAGTCTTCCATCTTCAAGAATTCACACCACTTGAACCCGCCACGCTCAATGCTACATAATTTTTAAATGTCAACCACTTCTTCAATAACCAAGATAACAAATACAAAGAAAAGCTCTAAAACAATACACACCTTGGGACCTTGGGTGGCAAGTTTATCTTCACGGTTTCTTAAGCCTTGAAAGCGCTTTTAAAATTTTATCATCTTCAATGGATGCAAACAAATCCCGCTCAATATAGCATATCATGCTATTATTCATCCAATCATCATTCATTTTATTCCTCCTGTCGGTCTTGATAATATTTATAGCAGAGAAGGCTCTTTCAACTGTTGCTGTTGCCACGGGCAATATCAATGCAAGCTCAATGAGGCGATACACCAAAGGAAAATATGTATGTCTATCAGTTTTAACCATCTTCTCAGCAAGGCCACCAAGATCAATACAAGAGCAAAATTCTTCATCTTCATCATGTTTGACTTCATCCATGAAATTTTCAAGCTCAGGTTCTTAGCTTTTCACATTCATAATCACTAAAGTCAGCATAATAAATCTTAGCAAGCTCAACTAATTTCTCTATCTCAAAGTTGGCAAACTCATTTGTCAGATCAAGACAAGCAACACATCTCAATAGTTGAGTTGATCTTTCTGAAAATTGATTGTTCAACTCACAAATTATTTGATCAAGGACAACATTGAAAATCCCATGATGATATATGATGGTAGTAGGTCACATATTTGGCTCCACGACATTTTGAACGACCTCTCATTGGTATCATATCTTCCATATTAGGAATGTCTATATTGTGTTTGGCAGCAAAGGCTTTTGTCTTCTCTAAAAGATCATCCCAACCATTTTCCCTCATGGCATTTATATTTCTCATCTGCAGAACCAATCAATCCTATTGCACGAACAATGTTTTGATTTTCTTTTGCAAACATTGTGATAGGTCTTGAGTTATCCCCAATACTCTGCACAAAGCAACTACCACAAGCTGCAATTGATGAGCAAAAGCAGTGGATGTAAAAAGCAAAAGGGTTTTCATTCAATACCAGCCTTTGTAACCCATGAAACCGCCTCTCATGTTTGAAGCTCCATCGTATCCTCGTCCTCTAACCTTGGCTATAGATAACCCGTATCTACATAAGCATAGAAACCAATGCTTCCTTCCGGTGAAGATGATGTGGTGTCGAGAAACATGTTGTAGGCCAAGGAACCTCTCAATCACACTTCCTTTATCATTGACAAACCTATAAAACAAAAGGAAACATAGTGTTAATTGGAAGCCACAAAACAAAAGAAATGAAATACACGAATAGATGATATATACCTCACAACCACGGCCATTTGTTCCTTAATTGATGCATCACGAGCCTCATCAACAAGCACCGCGCAAACCAACGATCTCCAATTTCACTCTTAATTAATTCACTTGTCTCCCTCTGACAAGCCCTTACCAAATCTTTTTGAATTGTTGGACAACTCATTTGATTATTCCCTGGAGCATTCTCAGCTATCACAAGTGCAGCCTTAGAATCCTTCTTTTTATACCAATCAAGCATCTCCAAAAAGTTCCCTTTATTTTTAGATGTTTTAGACTCATCATGCCCACGAAATGCCAGAGCTTGCAAAAGAAGAAATCTAGCAATGCCTAACATTATA